AAAAAAAATGATGTTAAAATAAAAACTTGAAAAATATCTTACTAAGAAAAATGCATGCAGTAAAATTTTGTTAATAAAAATAACAAAATCTTCCTAACAAAATGTAAATATGTAAATGTTACTTGAGAAAAATAGACTTTGGAGAAATAACAAGCACCAAAGGAGATTCACAATGGGAAAAATTGTATTTGTTTTCTAGAAAGGACTTCATTTCCCGTCTTTCATTTTTTACTTTACTGAAATTTATTTGGAACTATTTGCTTTCCATTAAATTTTCTAACAAAGATTTGATTCTTTTCCCAATTGTTTGACTCATTTCATACAATTTCTGAAATAAGCCAAACAATTAGGAAATTAATTGTTTGGCTTATTTCAGAAATTAATTAAATCAATTCCTAAACAACATATGTCAAAAGATTGTGCTTTGGTGGAAGACATCTGCTTGTGTCCTTAAGGAACAATGAACAGCACATGCAAATTCCATGTTTTCATTTCAGGATTCCAGAGTGTTCTCATCTGAATTCACTTTTTTATGCCTGGTGGACTTGGAGTGGGGCCATTGGTCTTCTCCTGCCTTTGGATCCTATTAATCCATTTTCTGTTACTGTAACAAAATACTGGAGGCTGGTTTATTTAGTTCAGTTTTGGAAGTTCAAGAGCACAGCACCAGCATCTGCTGAGCTCTGCTGAGGGCACTCTTGGCTGGGTTACAACACACTAAAGAAGCAGGAAGGGAAACAGTCGCATGCAAAAGAGACCAAGAGCCAGGTGTGGTGGTGCACACCTGTAATCTCAGAGATTGTGGAGGCTGAGGTAGGAGAATCACAAATTTGAGGCTAGCCTCAGCATCTCAGGGAAGGCCTAAGTAACTTAGCGAGATCCTATCTCAAATTAAAAAATTAAAAGGGCTGGGGACGAAGCTCTGTGGTAAAGTGCCCCTTGGTTCAATCCCTAGTATTCCTCCCTCACCTCCACAAAAAGAGACCAGGATCCCAGAGTGTCCTGACTTTATTATAACCCACTCATTTTTTCTTCTTCTTATTTTTTTTTTTTTTTTGGTGTGTGTATGTAGTTTTAGATGGACAGCATGCCTTTATTTTGTTTATTTATATGTGGTGCTAAGGATCAAACCCAGTGCCTCACACATGCTAGGCAAGTGCTCTGTCACTGAACCAGCCCCAGCCTCTATAGTAATCCACTCTTGAGACAGCCAATTTACTCCTCGATACCAGCATTAATCCTTTCCAAGGGCTTTCACTAGGCCCCGTGGCAAAACCTTCCATCTCCTCGGCAAAACCTTCCATCTCCTCGGCAGAACCACACTGAGGACCAAGCCTCCAGCACCAGAACCCTGGGGGACAAACCATAGCAGACTCAGACTGGAAGTGAAATCATTCACTCTCTTGGTCCTCAGGCCACAGGCCCACGATGAACTGAGCCACTGGCTCTCCCGAGTCTCCAGCTTGCACACCTTGGGACTTAAACTCCACAACTGGGTGAGCCAATTCAATATGATCTCTCATTCTCCAGAGAAGCCTGCCTAGTACAAATGTGCTTGACATCCATGGGAACTCAGCTTGAGTTCCAAAATCCCTG